TTCCAGATAGTTACATGGCTATAAGACGGATAATCCGTGCGAGTTTGGGCAAATTTCTATGTGCCAAACTTGAGATATGACTTCAAACACAAGAAAATATCTCCAAATTGGCGGTTTCTAACGGAACACAGGCATATATTTCAAGATCTGACTGATAGATTTTCTTTCAACTTTCCAGATAATTACATGGCTATATGACGGATAATGTGTACGAGTTTGGGAGAATTTCTATGTGCTAAACTTGAGATATGACTTCAAACACGACAAAACTGTACCATAATATGGATTGGTCGAAAATCGAGTGTTTTAGTGAATAACTTAGAATATATTTTCGATTTTCTCAAGATCTGAGCGATAGATTTTCTTTAAACTTTTGAGATAGTTACATGGTTATATGGCGGATAATGTGTGAGAGTCTTGGAGAAATTCTCTGTGCCAAACTTGATATATGACTTCAAACACAAGAAAATATCTCCAAATTGGCGGTTTCTAACGGAACACAGGCATATATTTCAAGATCTGACCGATAGATTTTCTTAAAACTTTCCAGATAATTACATGGCTATAAGACGGACAATGTGTACGAGTTTGGGAGAATTTCTATGTGCCAAACTTAAGATATGACTTCAAACACGACAAAACTATACCATAATATGGATTGGTCGAAAATCGAGTGTTTTAGTGAATAACTTAGAATATATTTTCGATTTTCTCAAGATCTGACCGATAGATTTTCTTTAAACTTTTTAGATAGTTACATGGCTATAAGACGGATAATCCGTGCGAGTTTGGGCAAATTTCTATGTGCCAAACTTGAGATATGACTTCAAACACAAGAAAATATCTCCAAATTGGCGGTTTCTAACGGAACACAGGCATATATTTCAAGATCTGACTGATAGATTTTCTTTCAACTTTCCAGATAATTACATGGCTATATGACGGATAATGTGTACGAGTTTGGGAGAATTTCTATGTGCTAAACTTGAGATATGACTTCAAACACGACAAAACTATACCATAATATGGATTGGTCGAAAATCGAGTGTTTTAGTGAATAACTTAGAATATATTTTCGATTTTCTCAAGATCTGACTGATAGATTTTCTTTCAACTTTCCAGATAATTACATGGCTATATGACGGATAATGTGTACGAGTTTGGGCGAATTTCTATGTGCTAAACTTGAGATATGACTTCAAACACGACAAAACTGTACCATAATATGGATTGGTCGAAAATCGAGTGTTTTAGTGAATAACTTAGAATATATTTTCGATTTTCTCAAGATCTGAGCGATAGATTTTCTTTAAACTTTTGAGATAGTTACATGGTTATATGGCGGATAATGTGTGAGAGTTTTGGAAAAATTCTATGTGCCAAACTTGATATATGACTTCAAACACAAGAAAATATCTCCAAATTGGCGGTTTCTAACGGAACACAGGCATATATTTCGAGATCTAACTGATAGATTTTCTTAAAACTTTCCAGATAGTTACATGGCTATAAGACGGATAATCCGTGCGAGTTTGGGCAAATTTCTATGTGCCAAACTTGAGATATGACTTCAAACACAAGAAAATATCTCCAAATTGGCGGTTTCTAACGGAACACAGGCATATATTTCAAGATCTGACCGATAGATTTTCTTAAAACTTTCCAGATAATTACATGGCTATAAGACGGATAATGTGTACGAGTTTGGGAGAATTTCTATGTGCCAAACTTAAGATATGACTTCAAACACGACAAAACTATACCATAATATGGATTGGTCGAAAATCGAGTGTTTTAGTGAATAACTTAGAATATATTTTCGATTTTCTCAAGATCTGACCGATAGATTTTCTTTAAACTTTTTAGATAGTTACATGGCTATAAGACGGATAATCCGTGCGAGTTTGGGCAAATTTCTATGTGCCAAACTTGAGATATGACTTCAAACACAAGAAAATATCTCCAAATTGGCGGTTTCTAATGGAACACAGGCATATATTTCAAGATCTGACTGATAGATTTTCTTTCAACTTTCCAGATAATTACATGGCTATAAGACGGATAATCCGTGCGAGTTTGGGCAAATTTCTAAGTGCCAAACTTAAGATATGACTTCAAACACGACAAAACTGTACCATAATATGGATTGGTCGAAAATCGAGTGTTTTAGTGAATAACTTAGAATATATTTTCGATTTTCTCAAGATCTGAGCGATAGATTTTCTTTAAACTTTTGAGATAGTTACATGGTTATATGGCAGATAATGTGTGAGAGTTTTGGAGAAATTCTCTGTGCCAAACTTGATATATGACTTCAAACACGACAAAACTATACCATAATATGGATTGGTCGAAAATCGAGTGTTTTAGTGAATAACTCGACTTAGGGCGGCTTCAGCGTCCGAACAGAAATAGTCTTCTTCCAAATCTGTCTATCCAGCATGAGTTTGATAATCTCTTTGCTGTCGTCAAGCCCCGTGTCCTTCCGAAGGATGTCAATGTATGTGAGGTGTGGTCTTCCCCTTCGATGATGTCCTTGAAGGGGTTCCCAGAAGAGAAGTTGATGACTCAATAGTTCTTCATGTCTGGCTAAATGACCTGCAAGTCTCATCCTCCGTGCAGCTATGTTAGTGAATAACTTAGAATATATTTTCGATTTTCTCAAGATCTGAGCAATAGATTTTCTTTAAACTTTTTAGATAGTTACATGGCTATAAGACGGATAATCCGTGCGAGTTTGGGCAAATTTCTATGTGCCAAACTTGAGATATGACTTCAAACACAAGAAAATATCTCCAAATTGGCGGTTTCGGAGGAACAAAGTCATATATTATCTCAGATATAAATTCGCCCAAACTTGCTCAGATTATCCGTCTAATAGCCCTGGAACTATCTGGAAAGTTTAAAAAATTCTATCAGTTAGATCTCGAGATAATCGACTTTCGTCAAATATTGTACCAATTTGAGTTATTTTCTTGTGTTTTAAGTCATATCTCAAGTTTGGCACATAGAATTTCTCCCAAACTCGTACACATTATCCGTCATATAGCCATGTAAGTTTAAAGAAAATCTATCAGTCAGATCATGAAATATATTCCTGTGTTCCGCCGAGACCGCCAATTTGAAGATATTTTCTTGTGTTTGAAGTCATATCTCAAGTTTGGCACATAGAATTTCTCCAAAACTCTCATACATTATCCGCCATATAACCATGTAACTATCTCAAAATTTTGAAGAAAATCTATCGGTCAGATCTTGAGAAAATTGAAAATATATTATAAGTTATTCACTAAAACACTCGATTTTCGACCAATTCATATTATGGTACAGTTTTGTCGTGTTTGAAGTCATATATCAAGTTTGGCACATAGAAATTCGCCCAAACTTGCACGGATTATCCGTCATATAGCCATGTAATTATCTGGAAAGTTTAAAGAAAATCTATCAGTTAGATCTCGAAATATATGCTTGTGTTCCGTTAGAAACCGCCAATTTGGAGATATTTTCTTGTGTTTGAAGTCATATCTCAAGTTTGGCACACAGAAATTCTCCCAAACTCGTACACATTATCCGTCATATAGCCATGTAATTATCTGGAAAGTTTAAAGAAAATCTATCGGTCAGATCTTGAGAAAATCGAAAATATATTCTAAGTTATTCACTAAAACACTTTATTTTCAACCATTAATCCATATTATGGTACCGTTTTGTCGAAAGTCTGAATTTCGGTAACAAATTAGGACTTAATTTGAGTTTACTGCACGCGCGATGAATAATTTGTGTTTATAGAGATCTGCGGCGCGTTATCAGGTTAACCAATGAAATCACGGCGTTTTTGTCACGTGACAGTCGAGTGTAGAGTGATTAATTATCATCCTGGCACCTAGGCGACACTCACTGATCTTTCCAAAAAGGTATGACAAATTTGGTATTGTGAAAATTCTCACAGTCTCTAGAAAACAATGGTACAAAAATTTTTAAAATCCGAGCAAGTTTATTTTTATAGTGCACCCCCTAATTTTCGGACGCTGATTCAGAATCACCCTAATGACAATTAGTGTTAAACTTAAATGCTCCCCTGGCGAAAAACTGTCTTGATCACGTGATATGACTATGAGTATGACCGTATAAGGCAGTTGGTCGAATTTCTTGTTGGGGTTAGCAGTTAGGGTTTCAGCATATGCTTTTGTTAGGGTTTGGGATCAGATAAGAGGGTTAGGGTTTCGAATAATCGTCCAGGGCCAGCTAGAGAACAGGTTAAAAAAGTCACGTGAGTCGAGTGTAGAGTGATTAATCATCATCCGGGGGAGGGGGGTTAAGTTGGGTCTTGATTACAGAGGGGGGACCCCATACCCTCAAAACCTAAGAATTTTTAAAAAATTGAGGCGATCGTCTTAGCAACCATGCCCGGAGAAAGTTTGTTTGCAGACTCGATAATATTACCTAATTGTTGACAGGAACTAATTTTGTTTGCTGCAGGCAAACACTTAATGAACGATTTTATTCGTGGGAAGGCCTTGACGATGTCAATTCACCGCAGCTCGGCGCGGCACAGTTAAGTAGCACAGTTAAGTAGCGCATCTCGCTGTGAGAAGCCTCATTGAGTGCGCGGCGCGGCACAGTAACGCATCGCGCTACAAGCGAAGGCCCAGGAACAATTTGGTATGTGAGATGATTTTCAGCTCCAGATGAGATCATTAGTAGTCGTTCACAATTATTACGTATCAGCCGGGGGGTTTCCAATCGATTACGCTTGTGTACTTTTGACACAATAGCCATGTGTAGAACTGATTACGGAGGGAGTGGCGCACTCTAATTTTTCCCCACCCCCTCTATACTATCGAGGATCTTCTACCAACAAATTTTATTGAAATTTTCCCAACGGTCATTTCCGGTACGCTATCGTACCCACAAGGTTGTGTTTTGATAATGGCGAACATGAGAAGATTCTAGATCAAATAATGAAATCTCCTCCCCAAGAAATACAAATGAAACAAAAATTGGATGGATTAAAAAAAATCAGATTTTAACTTAAGATTCCTCCTCAGCAACATTGTCTTCAATATGAGCGAACATTTCAGCGTTTTTCTGAGCATTACGAGCAGACTTCCTCTCGTGGGCGGCCTTGGACCTGTTCCTTCTGGCCTCAGCCTGCTCTTGGAGGGTCTTCAACCTAGCACTCTCGGCCTTCTTCTTGTGGATGTGCTCCATCAGGACACGTTTGTTCTTGAAAATGTTACCCTTGGACTGGAGGTACAGGGCGTGGTACCTGGGGAGGAGAGAATTGGTTTTAGTGTTAATAAACTTGCAGATCTCTGATAGCATTACTCTAATCTATGAGCAACCTTCTCTATTCTAGTTCAGGGTTACAATGCTTATAGTGTATATTACTGCCCGTCGATTCGGATCTCCCTGATACTCTTTCAGTGGAATTGATTCTAGGAGGCATTAGGGGTCGTTCACATATTACGTCATCACTGAGGGGGGAGGTAAGGGGGGTTCCTAAATAATTACGCTTGTGTAATTTTGACACAACAGCTGTGTAAAACTAATTACGTGATATGTGAACGGTCCCTTAACTAGGGCGGTTAGGAGCTCGCTTTATTTTTATGTTATAATTCTTCAGTTGGTGAAGCCCACATAACTGTGTTTATTATCAAATAAGTCGTAGGTAAGGAAGACAATATTTCAGAAACTGACAAGACATCACTACTTACATATGCTTGTCAATCTTCTTATCCTCCCTGTATTTCTTGAGCAGACGACGAAGAACACGCATACGTCTCATCCAGATAACCTTTTCGGGCATTCTGGCGTTAGCTGTACCCTTCCTCTTACCGGTACCTGGATATTTGAAAATTAAAATCTTGCCAGAAAAGATAACTTTGGTAATGATCCATAATGGATTAAGTCATCAACATGACCTCATCTGGAAATGTATGATTTAATATTTGCTGTGCATAAGAACAATGGGATTCATTTTTAACAGTAAATTGCAAAAATTATTATAATAAATAATCGAATGGAAACTGTTGAAACGAGTTATTAGAATAAATAATCGAATAGAAGTTGTTGAAATGAGTAGTATTAATATTCCAACAGAAAAGAAGGACTCGGCAGGAAAGAGTGAGAATAAACTCCTACTCTAGGAGTGAAAGAAATATTCAGTATTTACCGGTGTGTCGTCCCATACGCCTGGCCTCCCTGTTCTTCCTGCATCTAGCTCTGGAGTGAACTGTCTGGGGCTTCTTGATGATAAGACCGTCCTTGATCAACTTCTTGATGTTCTGACCTGATAAATGGTGCTGTGATGGTAGCTGTGGTTGAGTGGTTTACTACCCCACAACTTGTGCTGATGAAGCGCCGAGGAAAAGGATTAAACGTGAGGACGCGCGTTGCGCGCAAAAATTTTCAAGTAGATAGTGACAAGAGTACATTACAATCAACTTGGCGCTCTTCGCGCGCTACGTTACGTCGATAAATTGGTGGAAACGTGTGTCTTGTGAATAGGACCAGGGAATTTGATAAAATACTGGCTAAGCGGAGACGGGTCCCTGTAGGTTGACTAGACCATAGTCCTCAAACATCTGTATTACACATAGAACCACATACAAAATGATAGGAATGAAATAATTACACGAATGAGGACTCAACACCCAACTCACGTAACAAGACAAAAAATCAATTGTTCCTCTTTCATTTCAATTCTTTAATGGTATCTTGCTTCTCCAGTTATCATCGGTAAGTGTAATTTTGTCTTATTGTACCATTTGTAGTTTACAACATGACAGACAGCAAGTAAACAGTGAAATACCTCGTAAGGGCACCTTAACATAATCTCTAAAATGGTGTTCAGTAAAACCATACTACAGTTTTGGGTGTTATCTCTACTTTACACTGGCTAAGGATTAGCTATCTGTAATACCCTTACTTGTTATACCTGGTATAGCGCTTCATGCTCAGTAGTAATGGAAGCGGGGGATCATAAGGTGAGAATCGTACGTGACGTCGGGGGGTGTGGGTCATTATTTTCTTCCAAAACACAGTTAGTATGCTGCTCATTTCCCAGAAAAACAGTTAGCACATGGTACTGAGGGGGGGTGTCCAACCCAAAAAACCCTTTTTACCTCAAATTCCAATTTTGGGAATGGGTTTTGAGGTTTTTAAACAAAAATTTCTTCTTTTTGTAACTTTTTATCTAATTCGACTACATTGAAAAAAAAACCCCTACTTATAGTGGGTTTAATTTGCCCATTTCCCAACGTTTAATGAGCTGTTTAAAGCAATTTATGGGTGGGTATCTTATTTTATATACCAAGACACAGTTATATTAGTACCGTGATTTCTTAACAGTTACCACGAAGGGGGCTGAGTGGGTCTTTTGAAAAATCCCCCCCCCCCCCCCCCCCCCCCCGATGGAACTTGGAAGGGTTACCAGAGTGTAATCAGTATCAAGAGATAATCTTTAAATGCCAGGTTTTCTTCGATATGATAAATGCAGTACAGCTGCTGAATCTGAAGTCTTACAGCGCTGTAAGACATGCATTGGTGGGGCAGATCGATACCAATGCCTATTGGGACGTTACCGTGGAATTGCCATACTACTGATATACTAAATCCTCCTTGTTGACCGAGTCCTCGGTTTTACAAAGGAATAGCGATTTTTCCTTGGCCTCGGTCGGAAGGACAATTCCTCGGTTTGCCTCGGCCTCGGTTTTATCAAAGCAAAATTTCCTCGGCCTCGGTCGTAAATCCTGCCCTCGGTCGTAAATCCTGCCCTCGGTCGACCCTTGCTTGTTGAAGAGCAACCCTACAAGCCGAACCATTTACTTGACTAACACAGAGATACGTCACCCAATCAGTGGTAATTAATCGATGTGATCCATGGATTTAAGTTAAGTAGATTAAGAAGTAAAGGCTTCATTCGTGGACCACATAAGGGACCCGGACGTGAGACGGGCAGTGATGAAGGAGGGGAGAAGGAGCGAAAGTAACAGGAAGCGATTGCAATAAGCTTATCATGTCGAAATACCTTGGTCTTGGGTATTACTATCGATGGACAACAGCAGACAGCAGTATATAAAACCGCGAACATAATCACGGGGTCAAACTATCCCAACCTCAGCTTCACTCAGTTTTAACAGCCCATTTCAAGTCCTCCTTCTCTCTTCTTCAGGCGACTAAGTGATTTCTGTTAATAACTCAAGGCTGTCTGAGATCATCACTTATTATTTACAGCTACAGTGGCTCAGCTATGACCTCTGGAGGCCGTGATACAATTTTAAACCCCATCGATGCTTATGCCCATTTGACCAAAAGTTGAGGAATGAATGGACAAATTTTTCGGTCAGATTGCAATACCAAATAATGATAATGATTATATTACTTCATTGAGTTACAAATCTCAAAACACAATTTCACCGTGAAATGAGCAGGTACCTGAAGCACCATAGCACATGACCCGTACAGGTAAGGCTTGGTTGCCTCTTTTTTGACCCCCTGTATAATGCTTCTGTAATGGCCCAAGTCGTCGTTTTAGTTGTCGAGATTGCAACTACAGAGCTAGAGGATAAATATAATGTAACACCTCGTTAGTTATGTCTACCACCATATTTTAAGAAAATAAAATTAACATCACCTTAAAATTACCATTTGACGCATATTTAAGGTGTTCTTAGATGGTAAAAACCGACTGTCACAACTCACAGAACAAAAATTATAGGAGGGGGTGACATGTCCGCGTATAATGTCCTGTCCTTTTTGGATTCTTTGAGACAAGCGGACGTATTTTTGGGACATTAGCGGGCTCGGACGGACATAGGCGGACATTACATTAACGGACAAAAATTATGAGAATTTTTCGCACATGATTTGGACACAATTTTTTCGGCTAATAATGAACAGGGTAGCATGAAACGTGGAGAAAAGTAGTTTTCAGAAAAACTTTGAAAAATTTTCGGTCAGAGTTATTCTCGATACGTACCTCCCGTATCGAGAGCTGCCGATTCCGAGCTCGTGTTGCATAGGGGAGGCCTGCCTTCCGAGATCGCATTACCAGTCTCGAGTCCAAAATTGTGTATTGAGGGGTAGGTGCGGACTTCGAAAAACCGAAAAAAATATTTTCGGCTTATAATCATGAACATTGAACAGGGTAGAACTTAAAAAATTTTCGGTCCGAGTCATTCTCGATACGTATCTCCCGTATCAAGTGCTCCCGATTCCGAACTCGTGTTGCAAAGGGGAGGCCTGCCTTCCGAGATCGCATTACCAGGGGGGGGGGGGATTAACGAGTCCAAAATTGTGTATCGAGGGGTACCGACTTCGATAATCGAAGGATATGACTCGGACCGTTAAAGTTACAATTTTCAGAAAACCACTACAAAATCTTCGGTCCGAGTATTTTTCCCCTAAATTTTTAAAAACCTAAATAAAAAGTTGGCCCTTTTTGGCCCCTTGTCCAGATGCCCCCCCCCCCCCCCTCCCCCGCTTCCTACACCCCTGACTTGATCCTGAACTTCGCAACTTATTCCCTATTCTACCAGCATTGTGCTTGTTCATTCGTCACGCCTCTCTGGCTCAACCGACTGATACGGGATATCAAGGTCATGTGGCTCCATATTGGACTCTCGACAGTGAATCAGTTATAGAAGGTGATTATCACTGTTCCAGAGTCCAGACAGTGGCTGCTTGCCAACAGCCCTGTCAAGCGCAGAACCGCTCCATGTGTTTATAGATCACGTGATACCGATGTATTTCTAGATCTTGTATCCAAGTACAACTTGACATCTCACTTCGCACCTCAAAATACATTTAAAAAAGGATCTATAGGGTGGACCACATACAACTTTTTGAAAAAGTATCACCCTGCCTAATTAGCAAATTTTAACAAAATTAAACAAAATTAAACAAAATTAAGCTAATTTTGTTGTTCATTTTTGTCCGCTAATGTCCACTTTTGTCCGCCTATGTCCACCTATGTCCAGTCCTGTCCTGGCCAGTCCTGTATGGATTCTATGAGACAAGCGGACATAGACGGACTTGGCACCCACCCCCCCCCCATTATAGTAGTAAAATCTATAAAAATAAATACTTACGAGAGTTAGCGTTGCTGATTTCACTGGCCTCGTTTGGGTCGAGCCAGACCTTCTTCCTGCCGCACTTCATGACAGAGGCAGCCAGCCTCTTCTGTAGTTTGAGACTAGACATTCTAAAGTAGTTGCTACGTTACTTAATGTTTGGGAAATCAATAAAATCAAATCAAAGAAATCGAATAAATTTAACATTATAATTATAAAATGGTAGTGAGCAGTAGTGAACAGGAGTGTATACACTATACACTGGTATATGAGGAGGCATGTACACTGTCTGTACAATGTATGTATAGTACTGACCACACGTACACTAACCTACGAGGAGATTGCAATTTTCAATGAATTAAATGTTTGCATTGTTGAATAGAAGTGGAGAGACAAATTTATCCTGAAGCTCGAAACTGCAGCAATTTCTTTAATTTATAGAAAAAGATGTGGAATATCGAAGACAAAACATTTAACATCCGAGAAGGGTTCCCACCAAAATGCAATTATCGAGATCCAGAGCAAGTGTAGTGTTGTTAGCATACACAGCTGCTGCTGTGTAGAATATGGCTGAGAAGGACAAGAGAGAAATGTCATCATGCGAAGTGGACAAAATATTAAACCTTCTGGGAAAGACTAAAATAAACTACCGTTCAGAAGAAGTGTACTCTAATAGGATTTATTGAAAAGGATCATGCAACTGTTAAGGAGCTCCTTAAGAACACAAATAGAAGTGCACTTATAAAACCTACTGTACAGATGATTTCACTACCACAATCGGGACATCAGTAAATTATAATTATGTCATTCAGTTACATAATTGAAACAACAGTGGCCCCTTATTGCAAAATGTCATCTCTGTGCAATGGCAATGCAGTGAAATGTTCGATCATTCCTTCACTTTTGTTTCCCAAAGAAAGAATTGTGAGACAAGCAAGCTGGATAGATAAAGAAATTGTAAAATTCTTGAAAAAATTTATTTAAAAAAAACAACTTTAAAACCCCCAAACTTTTCAAAATGGTAACAAGGTACTAAGCTTCCGTGGAATGCACACGATTAGCCAACGACACTGACTCGATGGAACAAGAAATGGATGAATATGTTTGAATGGTTTAGGTCTGGCATGGTTTTTTTACTGACTAAAACTCGGCTTGTGAAGGAAACTGTGACTTCTCGATACAGTTCTTTACAGCGATGATGCTCTTGTCAACCGACTGCCAAAGTGTCTCCACAAGAGTGATCATGTGAAAGTAAACATTGCCTGACAGTCTTATCAGAATAAAAACGTGCTGTTAAGTTCAAGACAATGAAGCCCTCTAGGTGTGAGAGCTTTCGTTGTATAGATTGGAATTATGGTAGTTCTACCAGTACAAGATGTATGGAATGAGCTCCATGGTAAATTGAAAACGGTTGCTGAATCGGTACCTTGTACTGACCACTGCTGTGTTTCAGAACAGACCAATAAATCTACCATGTAACAGTTCCAAACTCAAAAGACTGAAGATGGAAAAAGATATTGCCTGGGCCGAACTTGATGAAGACCCAGCACGTAATAACTTGTTGTAGAATGTGAGAAAATAACATAAACATTAACAAACTGTAAATAATTATATTTGTACATGCGGAACAGAAGACAGGTTAAGTGTACCATACATCCTTTAAAATAGGAAGATTGGACACAAACTAAGAATCCAGCTGAAGCAGCAGAAGTGCTGGCTGGTGCTTACCGCTTTCAGTCCTGTGTTTGTTACGGAATCCCATAGACCCTTGCCTGAGTTGATACGTGATAATGAGAAATTCACGATTTCTGACCTAGAAGTTAACTCGGTAAGTGTGAAGAGCAAAACTTCAAGTGTAGAAGATAGAGTCCAATACTGATAAATTTAATAATGGTGGACGCATCAAGGCCGTTAGGACTTAGGCAGTCAACATGCCAGTAGTGGCCACACTTGGGGCAATCCATCTTCCAGGAGGAGCTGTCAGAAGATCGGCCACATGGACATTTATTAAGGGAACGATGGTTTACTGCAAGGGATGGTGGCTGTGAGCAGGGGCTGCGAATTGTTGATGTGGTGATGACGTTGCAGCGGCCTTAGGAGTTGTTGGTTTACTATCAGGATCGGAGCTCCGTTTCTTCTGTCTGGTAGCGATAAATCTGATTGCAGGAGACTTTGGAGATGATGACAATGATGGCAATAACAATGAGTCTCTGGATTTCTTGTCGGTAGGCATTTCAAATATTTCAGCAGGTAAAAAAGGAAAGATGTTTTCAGCTACAAAACAACAAAAACTGACGACCCTTAGCGCCCCATTTTTAAATGAACTGTTTTGGTGACATGTGTATGTGAATATTGTGAATCTTAGATAGCTAACCAGATTACATTTTGAATTGATTATTAGAGATAACTGTGGTGTGAAAATCTGACTACAGATTTAGATTTAAATATTGAGCCCTTTGGCTAGAGAATACTTTCTTGAATATTTTCGATAGTTTTTAATATTGGTTATATTAATGAATTGTAATTGATTGATATGTAATATTTAGGCCCGTGGCCAGTTTTCACTACATGGCCATGTTAGATGACTCAATGGAGGGGCTGCAGGAAACCACTGACCTTCTCTGCAAATACAGTGCCTGTGCGGGTCTAAAGATTAATGCCGGCAAAACACACAGCATGGCTGTCAGTAAAAGTACATTGCGGAGGCCGTATTCTAAAGACGACACTGTGGACATCATTGTGGAAGGTCTCCCAATACAGCAGGTCAATTTTACTTACTTGGGTGCTATGTGCGGATGGAACAATTGATAAGGAACTAACAGCTTGAATTCATAAGGCCTCTGGGGCATTCTGTCAGATTAGCAGTATATGGTACAGTCGCAACATCAAGAAACCAACTAAAATCAGGATATACAAAGCGGCTGTCCTTAATATACTACCTTATGGAAATGAGGTATAGAATACCAAGCAGACGCAGATGAAAAGATTTGAAGTGTTCCATCAACGATGTCTCAGGAGAATCCTAAAAATTTAACAGTTTTATCACATATCTAATACATATCTATCTACTTTATTTTACAGATGGTTTAGCCATACATGTGGTGAGGATGCCAGAAAAAAAAATACCTGATTATCTTCTTCACTCGATCTTAAAATTTTGTTTTTCTTTAAGCATGGTAAAAGGTCAAGGGCCAGACCTCGGAATAACTGGTTGTCGCGTGTTCTGGAGGATACAGCTATCTTCACAGGTGTCGATAACATCACGATAGAAGATGCAGAAGTAAATAAGTGGAATACATCTGCAGCACAAGGTGATTAGTAATTCAGAGATTGAAGCTACCCAACGCGGATAATCGAGTTTGTTGTTTTCATGTTCTCCTTAAATTTTGCTTTACTTAGAAGAGATTCGGCGGAATGACTGGCTGAGCGCCGCCCAGTAATCGAAATATCTGGTGGTTTAGTTGTTAGTATAATATGATTCGGATATTTATAACGTCACTAGATATTGAACAAATATTATTTCGAAGATAAACTGCAATATAAAAACTGTAGATTGAGGAATCGTCGCGGGACAAAAGAGAAGCTTTCAACACTCGCATGTAGTTCAACAATCGCAGAGACGAGTTAGGGTACATTTAGTTAACGCTCAATTGGGTGGGTGTGGAAAGGATATTTTTAATTTCAGTAGATCAGAGTAATATATATAACAAGTGGTTTAACTGAATATGGATATGATGGGGGATGTTTAGAACTGGCAGATCCGGTCTTAATCTTGTTTCAAGCAATAGATGTAGTAGAAGGTTAAATAAAACAAAGAATAACCAAAAGTCTTTTCTCCCGGAGCGAGTTATTCCCTATTGGAACAAACTCCCTCCGGACATCATGAACTCTGTGACAGTTTTAGGCTTTAAAATGAGAAGGATTTAAGTATAAGAAAGATATGATCTCTGAAAGTATTACAAATGATTGCTTTTTGTGAAATGTTTCTAATGAAGTTTTAGTAAGAATTGAGGGAGCCAGTTTTGTCGGCAATAAAAAGAAACATAATGATTAACTTTGGTTTCATCCTAATGTCGCGAAGAAGCGTTTTATAAATCTTTAATCTCCACTGGGAAGTTTTAAAATAGGATAATGGATAATGTTTTTGATAATTTTTTAAAATTGTATTTGATAAATAATAAATGTTGGTGGGGGAATATTTATAATATGTTTTTCCACATAGTGCGATGATATTTTGTAAACATGTGTGATGATGTGATGTCAGAAATTTTACTTTACTTTATTTCAGCAGATGAAATTTTTAGCACTAAATCTTACAATATTGACGAAATTTTTCGAACGCTATCAACTTTTTATTAAAGGCGCAGTTTATATCTCCTCCAAAAGCACACTCCCCAAATTGCGCGCATTGATGTAACTTCTTTCAAACTTCATGAATCGAGATAATTTATATTGCAATGTATTCAAAGTTAATATATGCACTTAAACAAATAACTTAGAATACTTTTGAAAGATAATAACAAGCTCAAAAACGCTAATGACGTATTTCTCCATAGAAAGCACAATAGCGTGAGAAGCTTTTGTCGAGGTGCCTCGAAAGTGATTTTAAATTGACATACGTTGTATGACCCGCCGCGCACGAGTGCGCGGCTCCCCTGTCACCTGTATCGTTGTAGCGCGATGCACTACTGGGTCGCGCGCGCATCAAATAATGCTTCTCGCAACCACTTATGCAGATCGGCGAGATGTGAAGGATTGACATCGTGAATCAAAATAGCTTGAGGTCCCCAGGTAACACTATAGTGTATAGTGAAACGACGATGGGGGTCACGACGTGATACAAATGTCAAATCTTAAACGATTCCCTGTTCTATTTTGGTCGGAGAACGCCAACTAAGTGTATAATCAAAAAAGTTATAAACATATTTCATACGTATCAAATTGAATGTGCTTTTGGCGGAGATATAACGTGCGCCTTTTATTAAAGCGTGTCACAATTGATTGACGATGTCAATCCGTCGAGATCGTTGCTCTGCGAAGCAAGAATGCTGAATGCTAGTTCGCGCGGCGCGTCGAAGCGGGGAAGTCCTTCAAGTGTCACAAATTTTTTAAATTGGCAGTCGAGTCTGTTGT